GATATGCTAAGAAGCTAATTTATTTTCCTCAACGCTGATTGGCTGAACCCCAAAGAATGTTTATATAAATAAATGCCTTAAGTTCAGTAGTAAAAAATTGCTTATATCCACAAAAGTAACTTTTTTTTGAATGAATCATTTGATTATTGCAGGAAGCTAATTCAAAAAACGTGTAGCTTGTAACCTATCAACCAAAAAGCAATTTTTGTGGAAATATTGCATGTGTATTTCATGAAAATGCATTTCTATGACTTTGCATTTCAAAACATTGATCAAAAGTTGGATATAAAGTGTATTCTAGATAATTATTAAACTTAAAATGCACATTTTGAGTTGTGTACAACATTAACAGCACTGTGATCTAGTTCTGCTTTAGGGAGGAACTAATGTCTTCACACAGGATTCATTTCTGACCTGAGGTGAACATCGAGGGAGAAGATATTGGGAAATGTTTTCATGTTGAAACTGGAAGTCATCCTGCTTCACTGAGGTGAGGAAATCCCAGCGTGTGTCAGCATGAGCTGCTAAATTAGGTCATTTCCTTCGTTTTTGTTTTGTTTTTGTAAAGTTTCCACTGAACTGCTAGTCACAAACAGGATTCAGGCAAATCTGAAAATGATCCTGGAAACTTAATACAAAGTTGAGAAATTAACAATTCGGTCACACATTTGTTAAGTAAGGGTGTTCAATGTGGGGTCAGGGGGCCGATTGAGGGCACCAGAATTAATCAGCACAAAACTACAACTTTTAAATAAAAAATACTCCTTTCTGCAGATCAATACCAAGCAAATCAAACTAGACTGAAATATGTTATTGTCCTCCACAAAGCAATGAACCTACTGTAACAGTGAGCCGAGGTTAGTGCCCTGAGGAACTCCGGAACATCAAAATTTGATGGCTGTTTTTTCAGAAGAAAGCAATATTTTGTTGTTTTAAAGGTAAAATAGTAGCATCCAAAACACACAAAGTAATAAACTTTTCCAAGCTTTTTGGTTTTCTTCTACTCTCCACATCTGTCCACTGACTTGTACTCTAAAGTAAACCTGATGACTCATCAAGATCTTGATATAAATTTGTTATAAAAGTATTACTGATTGCACTTTAAAAATTAGGTAACTTTATGTTATTAAAGGTAAAGTTAAAACAGTAATGATTTCCTGGTTAATGTCAAGTTGTCATAACAAAGACTTTTTGAATAATGTCAACTTTGTATTAAAAGTGTCATAATTTACTAAATGACACTTTATGACAAGTCATAAATATTCATGAAGGCTCATTCATGTTCATGACAGGTGTTATGTCAGTCTTATTCAACCCCCTTCAAATAAAGTGTTACCACAAAATCTGATAATTTATTTAGTTAAAATAGATTATGCTGAGTTTATTGTTGAGTAGATAAAAAATAACCTTTTTGGTGATTTTAATTTGTATTCTTTAATCTGGACACATGGCGTTCTTTCTGCTCCGTTTCCACAGCAGCAGAGGGAGCCAAACTTCACTTCAGTGCTGAGTTTAATCTGAGACATTTCCTGAGAATAAAACTCAGCTTCTTACCTGGCGCAACGTTCACCTGAAGATGGATTTTTCCATCAAATGACTTTCTTCTCGTTTGGCTGCTTGCGCCTCTGATTGGCTGCTTAAATGAGGCAGAAACTCGTTAGAGTAAACAAACCCAGTGATGCTCATTCATCTGGTCTCTTAGCAACATGTGAATATCGGTGAGCCCGGATCATTGACATGCTGATGATTTTACCTCTTTGAAGCTCGGTAATTTATTCTGCTCTGATGGGCCGCCTGTAGAAAAGGTGAGAGCTGTGTGGGAGGGAGCAGAATAATTTAATTTGGGGAAAAAAACAAGATCAAAATGACCAAATGTCACAATTTAACAGCAAGGAGTTGAAATCTCCTCTATTGTTGCGTCCAGGTTGTTTATTTTTTGTAGTTTTGGGTGAAAAATGAGCAGAACTTTACATGAAGCAAACAAACAGACTTAGAGGAAGTGTGTGTCAGTGAAAGGGAAGCTGGTTGGGTGGAGGGCCACTCTATTCTCGGTGACTCCTTCCTGTTTGGGTGTGGCTTCACAGCAGAAAACGCCTCGTCCTGCGGGGCTTCGGCTGGCTGGACATCCTGCAGATCTGCTGGGTTTTTGAAGATCAGTTTCAGTAACTGAGAAGCATGTGGGGCCGTCGAGGCGTTAGCATCACGGCTACGCTGTGACGCCCACACACAATCGCCACGTCATTTTCGGTTCTTTTTGTTGTCACTTTGACACAAACTGCAAACAGGAAGGACAATTAACAGGAAGGACAATTATTTCACAGTTTCTGCCCAGTCATCTCAGAATGGAGAGGAAAAATAGATATTTAAATAAAACACAATTTTTAATTGCCATAACTGTTCAGAGAAATGACAGTTTGCATTATTTTGTTGCGTTAATAAGCTTTAATTACAACTTTTGTCAAAACATTTCAGATTTTTAATTTATCTTTTATATGTGTTTCTATGTGTTGAGTGAAAAATTAGTGATCAGAATCACAATTAAGACTTTATCTGTGCTGTAGAAACATTTTTGCAATAGAGGGGAAAATGGGTAAATTTAAACTATTTGTGAGGGACAACATTTATTAAATTTAAACTGCAAAAATGAATTTGATGTGGTATTTTATTTTTTAATTTTAACTGCTCAGTAATAAACAATTTTTAATAAAGTTCTACATTTTTGTTATGTAACTTCACAGTTTCTGCCAGCCATCACCATCGGAAAAGAAAACAATTTTTTATAGCTGTAACTGTTTAGAGAAACATTTGTTATTGTATCTTTATTTTGTTTGTTTAACTTGACAAAAGATTTTGCATTGTCAGTAGATTTGTTAAATTCTTGAAATTATTCAATGTATCGTCTTTTTTGCATGTGTTGAGTGAAAGTTTAACAATCAAAATCATAATTAAGACTTTAGCTGATAGGAGTAGAACATACCAAACACTGAAATATAACAGTGAGCCGAGATTACCGCCCTGAGGAACTCCACTAAGTAAACTCGCTCAACCAGTGAACTACTGAAAGATTCATGATCAAAATCACAATTAAGACTTGAACTGAATAAGACAAACATCAGACTGAAACATGTTATTGTGTCATCCACAAAGCAACGGATATCAAAGAGAGCCGAGAGTCGGGCCCTGAGGAACTCCAGAACATTAAATTGCAGAACCTGAATATTTGATAGATATTTTTTCTGAGTAAAAGTTTTAAAGTTACATGAAGCTGAATAATCAGCAACCAAGAGAGCAAACAACTCTGGTGTTGCTCTACGTTTCCTTAATTGTTAGTTTGGGAAAAGCCAAACCAGAGTTTTCTGCTGTTTATCATAATTAACCTGTTTATGTTTCACTGTAGATTCTGTGTTGCTCCACTGTGTTAATACTTAGGTTCATCGATGTGTACTCTGATGCAACTCACAGAGCAGCAACAACGTTTGCCAATATTTATTTTGGTTATGTTTTCTTCCTGAAAGACCTGGCAGGAAATACTCGGCCAGGTCAAAAAGGAGCCTGCAGTCATCTTGGAATATCCCCGTGTCATCAGAGAAGAAACAATCCATTTATGAAATTAATGAAATATATAAGGTTGTTTAGCACTTTCAGGTAGCCTGCTGACCTCATGATGTTGTTGAACTTTAACCTGACCAGCTGTAGACACCTCAGGTCATAGCGTTGACCCCACAGGCAGCTACAGTATCAGCCTTTCTTCTAATCCTGATGTGCCCATCAGAGTGGAAGAGGGTAAATCTGGATCACATGACTTTTTCCACTTTCTTGCAAACTGAAGCCATTTTATACACTTAGCATCACTGATTAGTGGTTTTCTTGTGGCTAAACTAACATCTTTTCCATGCCTACAGTGTATTTTGACAAGGAAATGTATTTATGTTTTGGATTTTTAAACATTGGTTGTGTTAATCTAATATTTGAAATTAAACTGAACCAGAATAAAAGTAATTTATGCTTCAGGAAGCGGGAACCAGCTGTAAAAGATTGAAAAAATATGTTACAAGACAGAATTAGAGCAAAACCGGAAATTAGACATTCTGCCTTCAAAATAAAGTGTTACCAAACGACAAAAACCAGCCAGAATAACTGAATCTATTGGTGTTGCATACAAAAGCAAATTTTATCAATGCTCATTTTAAAGCAAGATGCTAAGGATTTCCTGTTTTAGTTTTATAGATGTATTTTAAATAATAATAAATAAATAAAAAAAAAACTATGTTGTCATCCAAGCTAATTTCTGAAATGTACAAACAACAGAAGTATCTGGAATATAGCTAGTTGCTCCGTGATAAAATAAAATTATATAATATTTTAAACAGTTTTACTTTCATTTGATCTTACTAATTATGTTTCAAATTAATATGTCTTAATTTTGTCAAATAGACAAGTTTGTGGGTTAAAACTATTTAGTCTGGGTTTTGAACGGCAGACTTTATTGCAATAAAGTAATAATGCCATTACTTTATCTACCAAGCAGTCTACTAATAATTTTAAAATGTAAATATGTCAAAAAATACAATTGACCTATCGTCAATTGTATTAGTTAAATATTCTTGTATAATTTCAATGTAAAGTTTCTTTCTAAATTACTTTCTGAACACATCACCTGTCCATCACACTCATACTTAAGAATAATTTAGAAACTAATCAAACTGCAAATAGAATATTCAAAGCAACTGAATTTAAAATAAGCTCAAAATTATTTTTATTGGTATTTTACTGCTAATTTTATTGTCACTTTTTTCAATCAATGTTAATTTTATTTATTTTATCTTGTATCTACCTCTGTTGATGTGATTATTGTGAAGCGCTTTGTTGTAAATGTGCTATATTAATGAACTTTTGTGGCTTTGAGGACACGTTTTCCTCCCTGGAATATGTTCTGGTTCGTTGATGGTTTTATTTTGAAAATATTTTCCGGAAGCTGTCACGTTTACGGCGTCTAGCTTAACGTCAGCGCACAGGAGCGGCAGGAGGGAGCGGCTCTGGTCGAGAGAGCTTCACAGAAAGCGGGAGAGAGAGCGACGCGCAGCACATCGGACGGGTGGATGACTGTAAGTACTGTCGCTGCTGATTTCCTCGTTTTTCTGCCTTTTCTTCTAATTCCATCCTCATTTAATGGATGGAGGTTAACCTCCGGTCGTATGAGAGCTAGTTTAGACAGACAGGAGCGGTCAGGGAGGTGGACAGGCCGGTGCCGAGGCGAACCGAGCTGGGCTGGGTTTGCGGAAGCGACCGACCGGCGGACAGACCGACGGACAGCTAACGGATGTTAGACAGCTGGGTGGCATCAGGGCGGCTGTCTCCCCGGCTCTGTATCCGATCGCTAGCGGAATGTTGGGGCTCTAGCTTATACTTTGCATCAGGTTCTCCAGGGGAGCGGGGCCTGCCGCATGAGCAGCCCAGGCAGGGAGCGCTGTGGGGCGGCCGCGGCACGGAGGAACCCCCGCTGCTCTGCTGGAGGATAAAGAAAGGAAGTGAAGTGAGACTGAGTGGAGGAGTTCAGAGGATCCTGTCTGCCTCACACTGGGTCTGTTATTTCCACACAAAGCTCGGGTTTATTCCCTTGCTTGTTGTAATGTCAGCAGCAAACAGAGGAGTATTGACAGGCCCCACCTAGTTCTGCTGGACTCAGGGGTCTGTGGCGGTTCGGCCCAACTTCACTCCAGCAGATTAACCTGTAGTCAGGAAACAGGAAAAAAGGCAGGTTGTTTAATAAAGCTGCACGGTGATGAAATAAAACAACAGGTTCTGATGAAGTTCTGATTAATCAGTGGTACTTTCACTAACTGGGCCTCTTGTGTCACATATAAACAAACTGCAGATGCTGGTTCAGAAACAACAAACAACACAAATAAAGTCTGGTACCAACATGTGTGGGTATGCAGGCGAAGAAATGCTCTGTGTTAAGATACAAGTCTTTTTATATTCATATCACAGCAGCTTAAACTGGATTTAATCTGAAACAGTAATAAAATTAACAAATAATCAAATCTTAGGGTGTAAAAATAGAAAATTCTGCTGTAATTTATGTCTGTCAACAATATTTACAGAAAATAATCCCAATAAATCCTGAATTTAATTTTAAATGTTAAGCAAAAGTATTCACGATGAAGTTTGTCCAGTTAGAAAATCACATTTAAGATGGCGACAAAGTTATTTAACAAATAAATATTACAGTCAAGTCCTGAAAATGAGAATAAAAAACAATTTTAAGTTTAATTGATTAAGCAGAAATAGATGAGCATTTTAAAGTGTTTTTATTTAATACATTAATCAGCCATCAGGATCTTACGCTCCAGCTAAAGTTGAAGAAAAAATGTATCTACAAGATCTTATCTGAGCTTTTATTTATTTTAGCAAATTAAAAATGTTTCTTATGCAAGGACAGAGTTCAAATGTCAGAGTTGGGTAAAAAGATAGAAAATAAAGAGGAAGTTGTTGACTGAAAACATGAACTTATCACAGCTGAGCTGAGAAACTAAACAGTTTGAAACTAAACATTTGATAAATTAGTGAAGTTAAACTTTCTGAGCTGCAGAGAAGCAGAAGTTAAAAGTTTCCATCACTCCAGTGCAGCTCCAGGCCTTACTGGACTTACTGGTTTTCTGTTGCTTTAATTACAACTAAAAACACTTTACAGTCTGATATAAGAGACATTTTGTTTCAAACTACCCAGAAATCATACAAAAATACATTATCTTGATATATTAAGGTGATTATTACACTAAGTGGAACCAAACAGTTTAAAAAAGTTATTTATAGTAAACTTCACGTCTCAGATGCTGCTTTATCACATCGGATTAAAATAATTTATTTTTTTATAAACAAGGCCTTCCTTCTATCACTTGATCGCAGAAATGAACAAAAGACCGACAGACTTCCTCAGATCTCAGTGACTTTTCCAGCTGCTGGAGTCAAAATTCATTCTTTAATCAACTTATTTTATTGTTTTTCAGCTTTAGAGAGTTAAAGTTGATCATTTTTCTGAGACTTCTGGTGTTTGTGGAGCAAAGAAAACTAAAAACTATTAATTAGTGAAGAGTTCTGGTTCCGACTGGGAGACATTCTGATTGATTGATTTATTTTTTAACAAAGAAATTACAGGATTATCCCCACCTCTGGATTATACTGATATAGTTTATTATGTTATTAAACTCACATTGCATGCTGCTGTTTGATTTTAGGTTAAAAATGGTGACAATTCTCAGTTTTGATGCATTTACTGACTTAAAAAGAAAATCAGGAATTTCATTACCTTGAGGGAAAACTGGCTGATTCTGATATGGAGTCTCTATTTGGTCTTCTTTTTAACTAAATTTAAATGATTACTTCATGTTTTACCCTTTTTATTAAAAACTAAAAATTATATTGGGGCTAAACTAAAAACAAAAACCTGTTTACTTATTTACCTGTGTAAATATTTGCTTTTCTTTTGACTTATTTCTGTAATTTCTTCTACTTCTGTCTATATTTTTGGGAGAAAACGGCATGAATTAAACATTTATATTCAAACGAATGATGAACAGCAGCAGCAGCTGGTGTTTCAGACTCGACTGAAAACTTAATGTAGGTTTTTGATTGGATTTAAATCACAATTTAAATGGCAGCAAACATCGACGTAGCGCCTCATCTCCTGTTGTGTTTATTGTAATTTAGTGGTAAAATGAGGCGTTTGGAACCTTACCTCTGATCTTTAACTTGCCTCCTGTTGTGACGTGTTCAAGGTTTCGTGTTTTAGTCGTGATGTTCTGGGAAACTTCAGATTCCTGAGTCCTGACTCGTCTTGACTTGCAGCATCGATATGCGGCGCGCCATCGAGAAACAAGCCCTTTTTACAGAGCCTGAGGCTACAAAATCTGCCTCTGCCGATGCGTTCAGGAGCAGTCCGAACATTGAAACTCAGAGTCATGGATGTCTAGTTCGGGCTTGCTCGCTGAGATTCCTATAACAATCTGCAGATGGAGAAATCTGCAGATTTATTTGAGTTTTTTAATGATTTATTTTTTCCTTACGATCTCCTGAACGTCTCTGCTCCACAAATAAACGTCTTCAGGAACAAATCAGGATTAAAATCTGTTCCTGCTTCATTTCGTGTGGATATGTTGGAGCCTGAAAGGCAGGAATAACTCTAGGAATACAACTAACGATTATTTTTATGATTAATTGAAAACATTTCTTACACATTCTGCTGAATATTCATTTACACAACATTAGAAATGCATTAAAGGATCCAAATAAACGATTGTTTCTTATTTAAGTAAGAAAATAAACATTTTATTGCTGAAAATGCAATATTATAGAATTCAAACCAGATGAAGCTAAAACATTGACAGACAAAGAAGGTTTTTGTCTTAAATGTAAATATATTTTATGCAGTTTTGGTTGTTTTTTTTCACCCATTTTTCAGAATCTGTATGATCCAGTTAGTGATTAATTGATTGCTAAATTGGTTGACGATTATTTCCATATTTGTTTCATCACGATTAATCGACCCAGGCCTACTAATTTTATTACTAATTTGAATTGGTGAGAATCATCAGGATTAATCGGATTAGTCATGACGGCTCAGCGTCCATAACTCTGGTTACGATTTTCTCCAATTAAGTTAATGTGACAATTATCGTAATTTTTTGTTCAAGTCAGCATTTTTAAACTTTTACTAATTTCTCTCATTTTAGGGTTTGGAAAATCTAGTTTCTAGATTAAAAATCCAGATTAAATCTCCCAAATTTAACCTTGCAACAGCAGAGTAGGTTGCAGTTCAGCCTTCGCACCACTAGATGTCACTTTATCCCCTAATATTGACCTTTAAAAATGTAAAAACATTTTAAATCGGCTGTTTTTCTCTGATTCTCCGCTGGTACTAAATTTAAACATCAGAGCAACACAAACAAGGTTTAAATGGGATGTTGTTGCTATGCAGCAGTGCAGGAGTTTCTGGGTAATTTGAGAATGTTTTCAAACAGTTGCCTGGTTACCGTTGCTAGGGGATTAGATGAAGATATGAGTAGCCAACAGCTAATCAGCGAAGTATCACTTCACAGCTGGACTCTGTTGTGTTTTTAAAGTAATCCTACAAGAGTTACATTTAAGTTTTGGAGTGGTCTAGTCAAAGTTTAGAGTTAATGTCACCCCACAGTGGTGAAAATGACCACTAAATGTAAAAAAATGAGAGGGAATGGAAATGATTTCTGAGTTTATTTATAATAAGCGAGAAAAATCAGATTTTTTTTCTTAGTGTTTGATCGGTTTGTCTCTTAGATGTGAGAGGTAAACATGGTTACCTCATCGCCATGGCAACCTCAGTGGCCCTCGTTAACTGATTGTGAGAGTTTGTCTATCCGTGTGAGGACGGTGAGGCCGTTTCTTATTTTAGATCTAAGCTGAACACTTTAATTGATCCCGAAAAGGCGACAGATTTTCAGTTTGTCTTCACTTTATTTTTACATTTACTTTAAAAAAGCAGCAGAAATACTGACAGTATTAATGCCAGGTGATCAGTTCCTCTCAGTTTCTGCACCTTTTATGAACTTTGTGTCTAAATTCAGCCAAATAAAATTCAACCAGAGTATTATGGGCTGTCAGAATGATCTGCACTGCATGTTTTAAGTGTTAAAAAGCTCATCCTCCTGCTGTTAAAGTGACTTCTTTCACATATCTTCTGTTAAAACAGCTGATCATCGTAGTATTGTAGTTATTAATGTTGGTAAAAGTAGGACATTGTTTTAATAACAAAATTACACAATTTACAAGCATAAAATCTTTGTCAATTACCTGTAAACATGCTAAAAATAATTTTTTAAAGTATTTAAAGTTGAGTTAACAGCCAAACTCAGCTCTGAGAAAAGATTAAATATCTTACACAAAAAGCTCTTTAAAAATGTTACTTTAGTAAATATAAATCCTCTAATTCTACTCAACTATTAGCATTAAAATAATAAATATATATTACAGGATGTTAAATAGATGTAGTTTTTAATTAAAAGTAATGAGGTGTTTTTGGTTTAAAGTTTACTGAGTACTCTGAAACTATCAAGAGGCAGAAACATTTCATTTTAATTTTAACAGCTTCCTTTTAAAAATATATTTAATATATATTTCATGTTTATGGATTCAGAGTTTTTTAAAAGAATAGTCCAGATTTAGTTGTTTTAATTAAATAAAAACATCTAAAGGTTCAAAACATTTTAAACCACATTAAAACTTTTATTTTTTTCAGCCTTTTGTCATGGTCAGATCTGTTTCGACCTGCTTCTGCCTGCGTTGCCGTGACGACGCTGGGCACTCACATGCCTGCGCATAGCAACCGTAACCAGGAAGGGGAGAATTCTGCCAGCTGTGTGATCACATGACCTGAAGCTGTTCTGAGTTTACCTGAGGGCTCAGCTGCAGGTGGTGTGAGCTGCGCTCTGATTGGCTGCTCTAACGCTCCTCTCTCTCTCTCTCTCTCTCTCTCTCTCCCCGTCTCTCGCCCAGCAGACAGACAGACAGCCAGGATGCGTGAATATAAACTGGTTGTTTTAGGATCAGGAGGCGTCGGGAAGTCAGCGCTGGTAAGTCCTGCTAACACTTCCTGGTTGTTTTCCTGACAGTAAACATCTCAGAGCTGCTCTGCAAACAAAAACACACATTTAAATCAACATTTTACTGTTTAAAATTCATTACTTTCCCCAGATTAAATTCAAAACATTGTTATGGACATTTGAGTAAAATAAAAATTGGGTGATATGGCTTAAAAATAATGTGTTTTCAGAGTTTAGTACTTTTTTTGGCTTATTGTCTCGCTCACTTTCTGTGAATTATTTGATGAAGTTCTACAAAAATTTCTGTTTTATTACAGAAAATAGTCATAATATTAGAAAATAATTAAATTACGATAAAAACTTTGTTTTAATGAGAGAAAAGTGACCAACGCTGTCCTGATACTTTTATGCTAATGTGATTAAAGAAAGATTATATGCTTGTATTGAGTATTAAGTATTATTTTAAAACTTATACCAAAGTATAATTTCACAAGTTGTTCAACAAATCAAAATTTATTTTAAATTTATTTTAAAAAGTATTTAAATGTTGCAATTATTGTAACATTAAGATTTTATTCTGCTGATATAATTACTTTGTTTTTATAACAATAATAATATTAAACATTATCCTAGCTTTAATGCTCCATGGTAGAGTTGACGTGTAAATAAACAGAAGCTGTAAAACAAGATGGCCGCCTGGCTGACATCGCGTTGGTGACAAAAAATCCCAATTTTCCAAAAATCAAATTCATCTGATCCAACGATGTTGAAGTTGGGTTTTAACCCAGTAAAAGCCTGTGGTTTATTATTTACTTCACAAAGTTGACAAAGATTTAAGACTAAATGGTCTAAATTACATACAAATCAGAGTAAAACTCATTTTATTGCTTAGAAATTCAGATTTCACCTTTTGATAAAGGACTAGTTGTTAACCAGACCTGGAAAATGAAGCATAAATACCTGTAAACATTTGGAAATGATGTTTTTTAATCAGTTTCCATGCTGATGAAGCTGCTCTTCATCTCCTCCTCTTCCTCTCTCTGTGCAGACGGTCCAGTTTGTTCAGGGAATCTTTGTGGAGAAATACGACCCGACGATAGAGGACTCGTACAGGAAGGTAGGAGCCAGATTGTTTCTGATTGGCTGAAAGCAGAGACACTGATATTATGGGATGTCCTGATGCAAGACCAATGCATGGCTTAATTTGTTTTATTCATGTATTTTATTTAGAAATAAAATGTCTAAATGTCTTTCAGTTATAATTATTTTCATACTAATTTGTATTAAATTAAACATTTTATATTCTATTTATCAAATTCTATTGATTTATTATATTTACACATTACTGAATAATTTCTTTGCTATACATATATTTATGCCCTTGTTTTTTAGTTTTTCTACATTTGTATTTTCTTTGTTTTTATTATGTTAAGCTAAACATATTTCAATTTATAGATTTTTAAGAAAACAATAAAATGTAAAATTGGGTGTTAAGCTACGTAAGTTTATGTAAAACGTTGGAGAATAACGTTGAGTTTTGACTTCCTGTCCCTGCAGCAAGTGGAGGTGGACGGGCAGCAGTGCATGCTGGAGATCCTGGACACGGCTGGAACAGTAAGAGCTGGTCAGAGGTCAGAGGTCAGCCGTACGTTTGAGCGTCTCCTCACCTCCACCGGTGTTTCCACAGGAGCAGTTCACGGCCATGAGGGACCTGTACATGAAGAACGGCCAGGGCTTCGCTCTGGTTTACTCCATCACCGCTCAGTCCACCTTCAACGACCTGCAGGATCTGAGAGAGCAGATCCTCAGAGTGAAGGACACCGAGGACGTACGACACACACACACACACACACACACACACACGCATCACTTCAACACGAGCCCACAAACCAGGATGGTCACAAATATTCAGCTGTCAGAAAGTACTAAAGTATTCCTGAAATAAATAAAAAAACTACTTCCTGTGAAATATTTAAAGCTACAAATGTCAAATTATAATCCATTTATAAATAATTAATGGAAGATTTAGGAAATATGGCGAGAAACAAAATCTAATTTCAGTCTTAAAAGTCTGAATTTATGCAGCTTTAATTTTTTTAACTCTGTGTAAAAACAAATTTTAAAGGTTAAAGGAAAAAAAAAGATGTTAAAAATAACTGACCTTTAACTGTGCTGCCCCCCGCTGGTCAGTTTTCCCTCTTCCTGTTTCCTTTTACCTGTAAATGATTTAAAGGATTTATTTGGGATAATTAACATGGAGTCTTTGAAGTAATAAATGACCTCAATTAAAACATCTACCATATGTATTTATTTATTTTGTAAGACTGTAAGAAAATAATTTGCTATAAAGTTTTAGAATTAGGTTTTATATATATATATATTTTTTTAAAAACATGATTTAAACATTTAGTATTTTATTGACGAAAACACACAATTTTATCAAATAATAAGTGTTTATAATACATTTTTGTAAGATTATAATAAATAATTAGGATTTAAATGTAAAATAAGCCAGGGTAGTCTTAATAGTTTTTTTAATAATTAGATTTAAACGTTTTGATTTTTTTTTAAACTTTAAATAAAATAAATTCCTGCACAAACAATTTTAAGAAATATTAAACTCCAGCTTTACTAAATAATATTTTTATTTGCTAATAGTAAAAAAAACAAACAAATATTTTTAGTTATTTCATTTTTGTCAGATTATGGGAAAATAATGTGATGTAAAAAAAATTAATAAAAAAAAAAGTCAAAATTGTCTAATAGTGTTTTGAAGAACTAGACTTTGATGTTCAATGAAATAAACTGAATTTTAAATGTTACATTCATTGTTTATATCTCACTGTCAGATTATTTGAAAGCAAAAGGAAAAGGTCAGGATGAAGTAATTAGAAATAAGGAGATTTAATCGTCTCTGCTGCAGGTTCCCATGATCCTGGTGGGGAACAAATGCGACCTGGAGGTGGAGCGCGTCGTGGCCAAAGAGTCGGGCGTCGGCCTCGCCCGCCAGTGGAACTCCTGCGCCTTCCTGGAAACGTCGGCCAAGAGCAAGATTAACGTCAACGAGGTGAGCGCACCTTTACCAAAAACCAAACGGCGTCTTCGCCCTCCAGAAACCGACAACGCGACGTTTGTTTCCGCAGATCTTCTACGACCTCGTTCGGCAGATCAACAGGAAGACTCCCGTTACAGGAAATACTCGCAAAAAGTCCATCTGCCAACTTCTCTAATGACAGGTGAGTCAGAAACGCTTTCCACGCCAAAATGTTTCAGACCAAACAGCTTTTAGTGCCAATCAACGGGAAGGAAAAAAGCTGTTTTCATTTATTAACCCGGCAGGAAGTCAATTTGCCTCTCATCGTTTTCAATTTTCTAACTGTCCTAGTTAAAGCCCCCCATGGTTTAAACTTAGCAGCTCTTCGTTTGCAGGATAACTGAATTAAAATGGCAAAGAAGAGAAACAAAGACGAAGCCTAGGAGTTTGTTTCTGCCTGGTTTGAAATGTTTTGACACTAAATATATATAATATGTAACTGTATTTACAAATTTCAGCTAAAATTTTCATTGTTGGCTGTAATTAAATATTTTAAAGAAACATTTCTATCCTGTTCAGACTCATTTTTGTGAATTTTGTTGACCGTTTTAGAGTGGAATTTATTAACTTTATATTTATTTCAGAAATAATTTATTTGTATCGATCACAATTAATCGATTATTGAAATAATCAACTAATTAATTAAACATTAATACCCAAAGATTTGTAATATTAACATTAGTTTGATATTTAAATGTTCATCTGTCACTTCCTGTTTACATTCTGTCTCTTTTACTGTCTTTTAGTTCCGACTTGACCGACAACCTTCAAGCCAACCAATCACAGAGCATCTTCCAGCTGGCCACGCCTCTTTAACACAACCACGGCATCATCGATATCAGCTAAACCCTCTGTTACCGTGACGACCATGTCCCATCCCCTCAGCGGAGACTGTTGCCTTGGAAACATTAAAAAATCCCTCAAAAAAAATCTGATGATGATGACGGTGATGGAGGAGGGCGGGCTTTTCCAAAAAACTTCCCAGATTAAAACTCCAGTTCCCATCATGCTCTCTGCTGAGGCTCTGCTCCGGGCTGGGGGAGCCGCCTACAACTGTTTTTATTTTTATTTTTTTGTTCCTTATCATTTATTTTTCTTTCACTTTTTGTTTTCCAGCATTTTTTTATTTTTTTTTTCAAATTCAACCGCATGCAGTTTGACCGTCAGCCATCTTGGCACTGCGGTTGCCACGGTGACGGCTGTCTGTGTGTACCACTCTGGTTAAACCTGTGGACCCTTACAGTGGTTATTATTATTATTATAATTATGGCAGTGCTTATTATTATTATAATTCTGTGTAAAAAGAAAAAGAAAAAAAAATTTAAGTCCGTTGATGTTTTTTAGTTCTAATTTCCGGGTGGGCGGGGCTAACTGTGTGCAGCAGGTCAAAGGTCAGCTCACTGTGTTGCTAAAGTTCAAACCGGTTCAGTTCAAAACTAAAAGTTAGCAGCAGTTTAAAATCCAGGTTTCAATAAAGCTGAGGAAATTTTCAGAGTGAATCATGTTCCACACAGGACAAACGTCAATATCAACAAAAATAAATAAATTTATAAACTTAAAGTAAATGTCTCGAAGTAGATCAGCTGTCATTTATGGTTCTACTGGGATTTATTGGAAACTGAAAAGAGAAATAGGAAAATGTGTGAATTATGGAAGATTTGTTGGTGAATTCAGATTTTTTGTTTTTGATGGCATCTTAGCTTTAGCATTATTCCAAAGAAATAATTGATTTAGCTAGAAGGTATGCTAACAGCATTCTTCTAATTCAATGTACTGTAATTTTAAGAATAATTATAATATATAAAATAATTAATATCTATAAACACTAATGGTCCACTATTTGGAGGTATTAGCTTCATAAAATAAAACAAAATTAAATGCTACCTGGCTAGCCTACAACATTAGTGCTACCTTTAGCTTTTAGCTAAATTAATGCGAAATTATCTTTAAGCTCTTGAAGCTACATAACTTTTAAGCTCTTGTTGCTAAAGTTACTACCTACTGCCACTTAAAGCTAATTGCTAATGTTATCATTAGTGCTAATACTAGCTTTAATTACTAACATTACGCTCTTGAAGCTACTTAATGATAACTTTTAAGCTCTAGTTGCTAAAGCTACTAGCTACTGCCACTTAAAGCCAATAGCTAATGTTAGCATTAATGCTAATACTAGCTTTAATTAACTTTAGGCTCTTGTAGGTTAGGTTATAGGTAAAAGGATATACTACCAACGAAACTATTAGTTAAAGTAATACTAGCTTTAGCTGTTAGCTTGAAGTGCCTGTAGTTGAAGCTAATTCTAAAATTAGTTGCTAGTAAGTTAGCATTTGTAACCGTTCTGTGTTTATTTTTGAAAGCTTTTCTTTTTTTGAGTAATAAATATTTGTACGTTGCTGTAAACCTGTGGATAAATATCAGTTGAGGAAGAGACAACTTTGATGAAAGGGCGAAGCTAGTGAGTTAGCGAACGTGTTAGCAGCACAGTGAGCTCAGTGAGAACCTGCAGTGATGGGCGAACATGTTGCCTTCAGACAGCAGACTCACACTGGTCCAGAATATTTATTTGGGAAAAATAACTGAGATGGAGTTACAGAAAACAGAAAAAGTATTTGTAGTTTGGGTTTAAAATTCATTCCCCAGGTGAGGATTTAGCCTGTGGAGCTGCACAAAGTTGGTGATCAGCGGATTATTTTTGTTTTTAATGAGTGTGGTGGCGTTACAGAACCAGTACGTCGGACCTCTGTGAGTTCTGCTGCGGTGTTGTACTGTGGTACGGCGCGGTACTGCTGCCAGTATTCTGCTTCTCCTCCAGTACGTTCAGTCATGTAGCATGTTGATGTTCAGTAAGTACTCGGTCTGACCTCCAGGAGATGCTGTGACGTTTGCATGCCGGTCAGAAGAGACGGAGGGTCTGTTTGCAGCCGCAGTGATCGGACCGCTATGTTTCTGCCAGCAGGGGGCGTCAGCGTGCTTAAACAGAATCTAACGCATTAATGTCTCGTTTTTTCAGTGCTTGATAATTTAATTTCCCCAGCTTTCTAAGAATGTTTTATAAATGCCTATGAATGTCCTTTTACCTCTTTGCAGCTACTTTTACACTGATTTCCTCGGATGTTTCAGTTAGTTGGTGTGTTTTGTGGGAGCCGCGGCTGCAGGCGGACCTTTCCGGCCTCCAAACATCGGGCTGCAGGGGCTTTCGTCATTTGCCAAACTCAGATTCTGGATGTCAGTTTGGAAATCTCTTTGTTTTAAAGAATATTGAGGCCTTAACAGTAGTAGTTGTACTAATAATTAGCATTTTTCAGTTGTGGGGTTTGTAAAAAAAAAAAATGTAATAAATGGAATAAAACTTTGTGATGTAGCTATAAGCAGATATGTTTGTGTGATGCTTTCAAAGGAAATGTAACAAAAGTTCAAATGGTGTGCAATAATAAACTTCTCCTGTCCTTTTATCTGCTTACACCCACATTACAGTGTTTTATGAACCATTTAATTTCATTTAATTTAAATTGTTGGAATCCCCTAAAACTCCCAACTTTACGCTGAAGTGATAATTGCAACTGCAGCTAAATGCAAAGTGGAAAAAGTTCCCCATGATTGAAATAACGCCTTTTTTTTTATTTTTACACTGTATGGCACAGTGACCAGTGAAATGTAAAAGAAACCAGTTCAGCCAGTGAGGCGCCGGGCTAGACCTGGTATGGAGGTCGTCTGAACTGGTTTCTTCGTTCCAGAAACCCGCAGCAGCAGGAGAGGCAGCAGAGTGGAGGGGGGCGAAGCCAAATGTAAAAACAAAACAAAACTAAGAAGCCTTAAATGAATAAAACTGGTGCAATTTTGTAACAGAAACACGTGTTGGTCGGTTATTCCTCTTATTGATGGATAAGGATGTATTTCAAAGTTTCATATTATCCTATAAACTCTGATTTTTATTGGGGACAAGTTGACAAAATAATATACTAGGTGGTAAGAAAAGGATGCATAATTCTCCAAAGGTTTTAAAAATAAAAATCTGTATTTAGCCCCTCAGAGTCCATGAGTTTCCTGAATTCTCATTAATTACAAAATGATTAAATTTGATGGGATGGGGGAAGAAAAAAAAGGAAAACGACGTCATAACGCGCTTCCGCGTAACGTCTCGCTGCCATGGCAACGCCGGTGTTGAGTCGGGAAAAGTTCCACCATAAAGATGTGATTTCCCACTTGGTCTGTCCGGCTGTTCCGATTTTGCGATTCTACACTGTCCTTTACGGTTAAGGGTGATCTCACGGTGCATTCAAGTACACCTCGTACATTGGAACATCTACATTAAGATGAATCTACACATCAATACCGTAATTTAATTTTATTGTAAGTTTTTATTAAAGGGTTATGACGGCGTAATTGGGTTGTTGTAGACAGAAAAGAATGAGTAAATTTCAGCCAAGAATTTTGAGATTTTGAGAATAATCACAGGAAAAAAAAAACATTTCTGAATATGAAAAGTTACAATTTTGCTAGGAAAAACTCAGACATTTTGAGGTTAATCTCAGACATTTCTGAATTTCAAAAGTCAAAAATTTGAAACTAAGTTTTTTCCCCCTTTTAGAGAAGTTTTGAGATTAATCTAAAAATTTCTGAGTTTTTTGGCAGATTTTTTTTTTCTACAATGGTCATAATAAAAGTAAAAAGTTAAATCTGGCCAAACAATGGGAAAAAAAAAAACAGTAATTTCTTTACATTTCACAACTAAAAATATTTGAAAAATATAATGAAATCATTATTGTTTAACAACAAAACGCACAACATGGAACATTTGAAAAATAATCACAGATGATGTTTTTTATATATATAAAATATTGATTAACACCTCAGTGCTATCTGATAGTAATAAAATACATTTATTCATTTTAGAGTCATTTCAGTATAGATTTTCTAATGTACGATTTGACTTGAATGCACCATATTATCAACCGCGGCCGTAGCTCTAAGTGTAGAGACGCAAATGTTAGGGAAGTGATTATCGAGAGGGTAACACAGCTCGACACAACACCTATAGCTTGACGCTTGAAGGTAGCTCGTAGCTCCGGGTGAATCAGCGGTAAACCGAACTAAAAGGGCCCGTTAGGACGCGAAGTTTGGGGTTTTGTTTCGGGGGAGCGACTTTTCCCGGTGTTACCTCAACAAGCAGGAGCGCCATGACGGTCCGCTTCAAGGTAAACAACAGGTGATGTAAACAGATTGATGCTAGCTGTCGCAGCTGCTGCTAATCACGATTAAAACCTGCTGGGAATCAGATTAAAGACTGCTGTGAAATAATAAAATGCATTATATTAAGGTTGAGATGTCGTGAAGCGTCGTTTCGGTTTACAGTTCAGCAGAAACGGGATCAATAAGGTTTTAATCTGTTATGATAATCCAGTTTATCAGGTTTGGATTCCCTCTGATTAATTTTTTTTTTTTTTTACCCGTCTAGACCATTTTGGAAAGTTAAATGTTGACTTCACTGTACTTTATTCTAATCTGAACTGATTTTTACAGGGACAGAGGTCGCCTGTTTAAGTTTGTAGTCTAACAGTCCGAACAGGGCCGGTCCGAACCTTTTTGGGGCCCTAGGCGGATTTTTATTTTGGGCCCCCCATTAAAATTTAAACTGAGACATTTTTGAATTTGAATTGATCCCAAAGGGAAATTAAATAAGTACAAACAGGTCAACACCAGATACTTCATTTCAAGACTACTCTAAGTGTGTAATATACCTGCTATCATTACTTATTTTTTAAACATAATTTATGATTAAATTAGTCATTTTCCTCCAGTATGGAAATAAGGACAACCTTATTTCCACAATCAATTGCAAAAGCCAAGGAGCTCGATTAGCAGAACTTTTTCACCAGGACAATGAATTCATTTTATTATTTCAACTTTAGAGAAACTAAATTCCTTCGATATATTTGCTTGTCTTTGGTCTGAGATGTTGGTCATTTTTACTTTATTATAGTTCAGAGCTAAACTGTTTCTGTTTCAGAGTCAGAGTGAATACCAGAAGAGCTACGGTGTCCCTCGCTCCAGGAGTGTGTCGCCTCAGCGCTGCCGCCCGCTGGCTGGACTTCGCCCTGATCAGAACCGTAAGAACCTCTTATGACGTTTTTATATAAAAACAACAAAAATTCAACTAGAAGCAACAGAGATATTTTAAGAATCAGTATCTTCCTGCTGTGTGTGTTTGCAGGGATCAGCAGACCTCCAGGTCTCCAACGACTGAAGAGACCCGGTCCACCCGAGTCCGGTAACTTCCTGCCTGGTTCTCCAGCAGATCCAGTTTGCAGAGCAACGCCCTCTACTGGCAGGAAAGGTGAGTGTCTGCAGGGGAACAGGAGAAGATCGTTTCAGTCTGGACAAAATTATTTTACTGTTGTTTTTTTTTTAAACAATTTCTTCTTAAAAATTATGAAAGCATAAAAAGGAGTAAAAGGGGGGAAAAAAAGTAAATTTCTAGAAATTTTGGAAATAATCTCTTCAATTTTCTAGAAAAGAAGGGATTGTTTTTTTTTTTCCTCTGGCAAAGCATCTTTAAAATCTCAAAAAGCCCCAAAAAAAAAAAATTTTGCCATTATTACTATTATTCATTTTTTACATTTTAAGTCAAAAATTTGCTTGAAAAAACTAAAAGAAAAATTAAAAGATTTTCAGATTCGTCTAAAATTTTGCTTCTAAACTTTTCCCACAGTAAAATTTTAATTTTCAAGTTTTCAAACTTTCTCTGCATCACACTTTGGCAATAATAATAAAAAAACAAGTTGACTAAAAAAGACAGTTTCATTTCACTATAATATAATTTATTAATGCTATTAATAACCTGTTGTGGTAGGACTCTAGGTAAAATAAAATATTTTATGTTTTGAGTTATCTGAGAACCAAACACAAAATTTAACAAAAAAATCCCCCAATTTCAATAACGCTTAATTATTTCATATAAACAGATCAGATCAATAATTCACTGAAAAATTAGGAATAATAAATATTCATTACATTCAAGCAAATCATGATAAAGTAAATTACCTTCCTGCTCAAATTAAATGTTTAAATTAAAACACTAAAAAATATTCTCGCTAAGTTTTTTAGCAAATAAAAATAATTTTATTAATTCTGACTAAACTAAAACAAGAAGTTTAATCTGATTTAACTCCAGATGATCTGGTTTCAACTGTAAACATTGTTTACAAATTTCCAAATGTTTTTATTAAAGTGTCAGATTAGATTTTATTACAAAACTGTGCAGTTTGAAAACCAAGAACTCTCCAAATTCAAGGATTTTCCAGGTTCTTAATAATCTGGATGAGGCTGTTTCACATGATTCTCTGCCTTAAATCACAGATTCTCCAGTTTCTAAACCACCAAATGTTTCTGGATCGGAACCAGAACCTGGATTCAGACCAGCAGCTGATGGAAAATCCGGTAAATGTGCTGAACTTTGAGGTTCTGTCGTCCCAGATTGCCGCTGGTCTCACATCTGCTCTGTGTCCCCAGTGAAGCTCCGCCCCTCTGAGCCCGGCGGGCCTGCAGAACCCGAGCAGCAGCCGGGAAACCAGGTGAGACCATCTGGAACGCTGAACCGGAAGCAGCAGGATGTGACTGGTTTGTGTTGCAGGTCGACAAGGCGTGGGGTCAGAGGTCAGAGTACCACAGGCAGTTCGGCTGGAAGAAGCCCGTATCTGCAGCGTCGCCATTACTGACAGCAGAGCAGGTGAGAAAGACGTCTAAGCACGACGACTTCCTGTTTTCCATCAGGAAGCATGGGGAGGCATGAATGCTAACCGACATGAATGACTGTTTCGATTGGTTTCCTTCTGTGGTTGTTAATGCAGCGCCCCCGCAGGCGAGGAGGGGAACAGGTTTTTCAAAGAGAACCACAGCAGCTGAGTAACAAATGTTCTCCAAATCTCACCGGAGGGATTATTAATCCCATCAGACCTTAGAATGAGCTGAATGGGATGAATGAATATTAATTAATCAGTTAATTTCACAAAAAAGCTCACAGCATTGTGGTTATTTTATTATGAATATCATTAGGATTCATTTCTGATTTATTAAAGGAAACAAAACAGTCAAACTATGACAGAATGACGACCTCAGCGGTTTAGTAAAACTAGAAATTTAAACTACAAACAGTAAACACAGAAATACAAATATCAAAATAATTGTGATAAAATGTAAAATAATGTCCAACAAAATACAGCTAACTGAATTTAGATAAAATGTAGAATAATGAAATATTAAATGTAGAACAGAAATTATGGCTGAATTCAGGAGGTTTTAATTAGCTTTTATTGCATCACAGAAACTTTCTCTTTATTTAAAAGCAAAATTCTGATTTTAATCAGATTAATTCAGTTCAGGTATCACGATGGGGTAATAAAGCAACTTCAGTTGCTGTCACCATTTTGCCATGTGTTTCCTGAAGCTGCTTTTTATCTCAATCAGATTTTGTAGATAAAAAAGCAGCAAATGTTTTACCTAAACATTCTCACCAGGGGGCAGCGTTTTTAAAATCAGACATTTTTTAAAATTATTTTTCACCAAAATGAATCAAAATCATATAAGAGAACCTTAAACACATTCAGTAGGGAAATAGTTGTTTTTATAAAGGCAGATGTTTGTTACTGACTAAATGAAATAAAGTTGTATTTTAAAATTGTAATTTAAATGCAAGTTTGATTTATCACATTCTGATTCAGTTTTTATGTGAAATGTTGCCCTTAAACATCAAATAAAAGTTAGTCATTTTAAAATTGCATTCTGGGTAAAAAAGAAAAAAACAATAGACAAACTGATAGAGTTCAATTGATTATCAGTGAACAATAACTGTAATTCTCCTGTTTGTCCACCAGATGGCGGCGCACCAGCCTCATCCAAACCGATTAGATCGCAGCTCTCTGGAGGTTTTCTCAGTGGTTGTTCAGGTGCTGACCTTTGACCCCATCTTGCAGGTGTTGCACTCCACCAGCAGGTCCATCCCACCCTTTAAGAACATCCCCGTTCCCATGGAAACGGAGTACCGCCGGAGCTTCCAGGGTCTGGTTCCGCCATCCGGTCCGCGCCTTCGGAGAAATCTGGGACATCCGGTGTTTCACACATACAGAGTAGGTAACACACACACACAC